TCAACATTAATTTATTTCGATAATGATTGGGCTGCGAACAACGTTGTTGTTATCATACACCCTGTTAGAGAGCTATATTTTTTTGTTGATAGATATGTGCATAGTTCGTCGGATCAGTGACAGAAATTTTCTAACTAATTATATCAATGCCAAAGAAAACCCTCAGTTTTTAGAACATCAGACGTAAAAATTCTAGCCTTTTTTAAGACTTGATGATCTGAAAAATGAAATAGTTTAAAAATCAAAAAACTATTTGCCTCATTCGAAGCGACAAAGAGGTCTCGTTCAAATGGAAGCAACCCAAACTTTGCAGCTTGAAATACGTTGGTAGAAAAGTTTTACGCGAAACGCTGTGTTTTACAGCTTAGCTTCTAAGAAGCTTCTGATTGTTAAGATATGAAGACGTGAGTTTTTTTATGAATGTGCTTAAATAAACAGAACATTTAACCTCTATTATCACTACTTACTAGATTGTAATCAGTGACTGGTAAGTAATATGTTTTAACCAGACACATCGAAGATAAGAGCTTCTTTTGAGATTCGAACACGGAACTCCAATTTTTCATGATTTTTTTTGATCATTCGTGTTTCGAAACCATAAAGTCGTCAACAAGCTAACGTCTAACAAATAAAGTAAAGGTAAAACAAAGAGTAATTGAAAAGTTTCGACGTCTCTCAGTAAATCGATGATATCTATGACAACATAGTTAATTGATGGAAGTATATAATTTTGTAGAGAAGGATTAGAGCTATGATCTAAAAAAAACGACACTTGAAAATGCATTAATATAATCTAATACTATGGTCATTTTTCAAATCTAGAGTAAATATATTCATCTTACATTTTTTTGAGAAAAATTGTGGACAAAATTTTTTTCATATTATCTGTCATTTGTCACAGAGATGTTATATAAAACTTTACGCTTTAATGGAATAATATTCATTCTATTTGCTAATTATGATTGTAGTTCTGTGGCACTATTGACATTGTTAAATGGTTTCACATTGAGTCTTATTTTATGGAGTTTACTGTTTCTACTTTGTTCGCTAATACAAGAGTTGACTGAATTCATTTTTCCGACAGTTGTTACAGTTTTATTTAAGTAATTCTCAATATACGTTTGAAATCGAAATAGATTATATATGTGCAGTAGAACGTTGACATATCATTTGATGAGATTGATGTTAATATAAATTTAATTCATCAGATGATGTCAAACAAATTATTATTGAGCATGAAAAATTTTTACTGTAGAAAAATGTGAGAAAATAATTAGGAGTGTTCAACAAATGTTTAAAACAATTGACCGACAATAAGATCAACGGATCACCCAAGTCGATTATTGATATTTATACGAAAAACTAGTCTTACGAATTGACATCGTTTAGACTGTTCATGGAAGATTTTTAGAAAAGCTTTCTCCAAAAAACTAAGATGAAATTATTCATTCCAGATTAGTAAAATGATCATAGCATTGGATTGCATTTATGGATTTCTCAGTGTCTTTTTTTTGCAGATGATAGCTCTAATTTTCCTTTATAAAATTATATACGTATTTCGATGAATTAACTATACATAGATTTGTCATTGATATCAACGATTGACTAAAAGAGGTCAAAACTTTTGAATCACTCTCTAGTACATAAATTGTTTTAAACGGAGATGACGCAATCACATCAAAAATTGATTAAACTCGATGACTGTTGTGAGAGACAGTGCAATTCTGTAATATAAAGAATATAGCAGCAGAATTCGTTATCTACAACTCGAATCATGTATAATCCATCTCTATGGTTCTCGAGACTTGTTCTCTAAAATGCATACACACCACCAATAATAGAGACGAAACAGCCAGTCTTCACTGAGTTCCATTACAAGGTATTTCAAAAAACAGATTTAACGATTTCATTTGCGTCATCTAAGTAGAAGTTACCCCTTCTTAGAGTCAATCGAGTTTTAGCTGCAACTGCACCGGATTGGGCTCGGATCTAAAACTTTTTCGATGACCAAATCGAAGCCTGAAAAAACCTGTGTATCGTTACGAGCATTCTGTACCTTACTTATTCACACTTCACACCTATCCTTCGCAGGTCTATTTTCCTGCCTCAGCTTGGAGTGCCTTGTTATTCCATGATGTTTTGTTCTAAATTCCAATATCGATGCACCATTTACCACTAAATGAACACTTTCTTATGCAAAATTCCGTTAAAAGTGACCCTTTTTGTCTAGTTAATGGTGTAGTCTGGCTTCTGAGTGAAAAATATTTTGATTATAATCAAATTATTATGCAATAAAATCAAAAATTTTAATCTACTTTGTGAGTATTGACCATAGCAAAAGGGCAAAAACTCTTCTAAATTGAC